TACACATTAATAAAGATCAAGAACTAATATTTCCTTATACATTTTAGTGACCTTTCCTTACAAAATTGGGTTTTTCTTTCATACTTTATCTATTGGGGCAAAGAATTCATTGACATCGTCTTGGCCACTCCCACCCAGTCACATGGCTGGCAAGGCACTTCCACATGGTCACATGGTCAGCAAGCCACTCCCACCTGGTTACATGGCTGATGAGCCACTCCCACAAAGTAGGCCACACCCACAGAGTAGGCTCCAAAAACGTTTGAAACCCACCACTGTGTCCTGTGTAATAAAATCTTAGGAACTTTCTGTGGATGGCCGAATTGGAACATGGAGACAAGCTTCCTTTAGATCTATTGGTGTCAAGAGGGTGCTCTCTTGAATGCATCCCAGGATCATTTGAAGGGATTGCATCTTGAAGCATTTGTATGCCAGGTGGACGTTGAGCTTCTTCAGATCTAGGATTGCTCTCCACACTAGAAAAAGGATGGAGTAGAAGCCCCTCCTCTCCTGTCCTACAGGGACTAGTTCTATGGCCCTGATATCTAGTAAATGCTGAATTTCGGTTTCTATGAGACCCTTTTTGGAGAGGCAGGTGGGGATGGGACAACGAATGAAGTGCCTTGGGGGCGATGAGATGAACTCCAAGGTAAGACCCAGCTTTATAGTCTGTAAGACCCATGTGTCGACTTCCGGGGCGGGACCTTGCTGATGGCGGCAGCTTAACGAGCTGCCCCCGGGTTTCTGGTGGTGTTATCTGCCTAAATACCTGGTAGATACCTCATTCTTCAGGCAAAGAAGAGTGAGAGAGAGATCCAGCTGGTAAGAGCTTTTCTTTGAAGTTTGCAGCTTTTTTTTTTNCCCTGAGTCCCTCCGGGAATAGGGCGGCATATAAATGAAATAAACCTATAACCTATAACCTAACCTATGTTATTAGAGTACTCAGAATTGAACTAAAGAAGTTCATTGTTCTTTTACTTCTCTTTTTACAACCCTGTAATCCAGCAGTGTCAAATCCGTGGCCCATGAGCCAGATGCATCATGTGCTGGCCACCCCAACCCCTGTTTTAGCAAAAAGGACAAAAGCTGTGATATGTTAATGAGGTGTCATCTTGCGTTTGACACCCTGCTGTAATTTTTTGGTTTGGGGATGGATTGGGGTGAGTCTTTAGTAACACTTTTAAAAGCTTATTTCATACATTCCTTCACAAAAATTGGGGGAGATATATAAAATGAGGACCCAGATTGTTGGAAGCAATATGGTGACTTTGTAAACTGCTTAGAGATGGCTATAAAGCACTATGGTGGTCTAAGTGCTATTCCTATTGCTATTCTCTTCCTTCAGTCCCAAACATTCCGTTGTTATATGGAAAGACAAAAAAGAGTTGTATTCACCTTTGACTAGTGGTGGGTTATGGCCGCTATGGCCTGGTAGGGGCGTACTGGTGCCTGCTGGGAGCACCAGGTACTGTTCAAGTATGGTGCTGTGGAGGGCCTACCTGCCCGCCTGGTGTCCTTACCTGTATTTGACCCAATCGGGCCATTTGCACACACGCACGGAGCATATGGCGCCTGTGTGACACTTCACTGAGTAGCTGGAGAGTCACAGATGGTGGGTACGCATGAGGGAAAGCACGCGTGCATGTGGTGGGCGGCCGGCCCCATCGCTGTGTACTGGTAGCATTGGAATCTGGAACCCACCACTGCCTTTGACTGAATTAGAATATAATCATTTTAATTATTATTTAAGACAATGTAGCACTCATGTCAGCACACATGAAATGATGAGATAACTAGCCGAACATAAGCATAATTTCCCTTTTCAAATGCCCTCTGTCTTACTGCAAAGGGCCTTTGCTCATGGTCTATGTGTTGCTCCTTACCCATTCTTGAGACTATATCAACCTAAAACATACTTCCCCCGGTGCCAAACCCTTTCTCTCTATGTCTCTTCTGTCTTCCTAAGGAAATGTGATGTCCTGAATAAATACCAGCAGGGTCTATTAAGTAAAACGATTGTTTGATGCCCTTGGTTTTCCTTCCCTTCTCTTAATGTGACCAACCAGTAGGAAAATATCCAGCAACTGTTACACCTGCTGACATACACCTTCCATGTCCTGTGGCTAGATAAATAAAGGCTGAGCACCAGGAAATACTGTGACCCAAATAAATCAGAGCCATGTGTGCACACCCAATCTTTCCTGCCACTATCAGTTCCTTGATTACAGTCATTTATTCTTAGCAAGAAATGTACATACCCATGGATAAGCTGATGTTAATTATCAAAATTCAGAATGATGAGAATCTTGTACAGATTTACTCTGTATTAAGTGCTGCTGACATATTCCTTAATTAGAGTGCATTGGTTTCTTAGTCTTCCTGTTTCATTCCATGTCACGCTCCAACTGATTGGAGGTGTCAATCAAATGCAGAAGAATGGAAGCTCTTTATTTTGATTAGTAATTTGTTGTAAAAAGAGAAAGAAAGAGGGGCAGAGGGAAGGGGAAATTTTTTTTTCCATCAAAGAGCTCATCTATAGAATTTTCTCCCCCTGAAATAAATTATTTTGCATGTTTGACTCTGAGCTTAGACTTCTGAACAGGAGCATTCTTTCTGGTTTTATCGCAGGGAACCAAAGTATTGGGCTGAGTCTCTGTTCATGCATTCAAAACAGTGATGAATCACTCACTGCATGAGAAGCTATCACAACATGTAGCATAGCAACTTACGATAACCTGATCTTCTGCCAATAAGAATGGTTATTGTTCAGTAATGTCTGCCCAGGTTTGTTTATTAATTCATCAGCATGCTGATGCCGCCAGGCATTAAAGTTCACTAACCTGCTACAACTGTTTAATAAAAGTGATAATCTTCTGTTCCTGCTCTTCTAAATAAAATTCTGCTCCTGATATGGAAGGCTCGTATGCTACAGTAACATCAGCAACAGATTGAATAGTTCTGCCAGCTGATTAAATAACATCCTCAAATACAAACAGCTGTTGTTTCCTCAGAGGAGTTTATGCAGCCATCTGGCCTTATGATTGCCAGATGGAAGTGGTATGTTAAGTTTTTGTTTGAAGTTTGTAGGGTATTCTTATTTGGTATTTGTATGGTAGGCTCTGTAATCAACTTTGACTGATAAAAACTGGAGTTATGACACATCAGGCCTGATATTAGCACAATATTTCTTTCACATTTTATTATACACTGAAATGAAGGTGCTCAAAACCTGAAAAGATTTGTTTTTGTGACCAGTTTCTGAAATTATATTGAATGGCTAATGATATGTAAATTAATATTTCTGTCAGGTGTTTCTCCCCTGAGTTGATCTATTCTCCTTAATGGTTACAGTTACCATTGCCTTATTCCTCAGATTAGGTAAATGATTAGGTGAATGTCCAGTGGTAATCATCATTTTGATAAAGTTAACCTAGAGAAACATTAATAATTTATCAATCTCGACTTCCTGGGTGGGACCTTGCTGATGGTGGTAGCTTAATAGAGCTGCCCCCGGGTTTCTGGTCACGTTATCTGCCTAGACATCTGGTAGATACCTCATTCTTCAGGCAAAGACGAGCGAGAGAGAGATCCAGCTAGTAAGAGCTTTTCCTTTGACGTTTGCAGCTTTTTTGGCTGCGAAGAGAAGGGGGGCAGCTGAGGCTGAATCATATCTCCGTGCCGGAAATCCCTAGCTGTTTTTATCACGGCTCAAAGTAAGGCACCTCCACTTAGGACAATATTTCAATTATTTATCTGAAATTAATACAAGCAGAGTCCGTATCTGAGAACCTTATCTGCTTTTTTAAAAAAAAATCCTAGCTTCATTTTTTACAAGAGCTTCNAGAAACAGCATAATGAAATAAGAGAAAGTGTGGCTGGCCAAAATTCTAAAAGGAATATAATTGCAGGCCTGACACTATCTCTATCTCCTGCATATTTGAGCATATTTGTGCTCAATTCTGGGGACATCTATATCTTATCAATTCTGGACCATGATTGGTGTCTCTTTGAGTAAAATATATACTGATTTTTCTCTGGATTTATTTCTCTCCATGTATCCTGTTTACCTATTTTTTCTGCCTTTTTGAAAAAGGTCCCAGGAAGAGTCCTCCTTATTTTTTTTAACCTATTTTACTACTTCGGGGCCCAGCTTTATATCTACAATTGCATTAAAATCTCCTATCATACATATAATCTCATAGTCCATTTCAATTATCTTCTTATGCAATTTTTAAATAAACTTTTTCTTGTTTGTTGTTTGGTGCATTAATTGCTATCAGAAATTTATTGGTTTATTACTAACTCCACCATCAAAATTCTTCCTTCATCCGTATAGATTTGTTTAGCATTTATTGTTTCCTTGGTATACAGAACCACCCCTCTTTTTCTTTTGTTTTCCTATTAAAGATTTTAAAGTGCTGTTGTAACTTTGAACGATCATTAAATAAATGGTCTATCTGTATTCTGTTAAATCTTCTTGTCTCTCCCTCTTTGATGTTACAGGGTTCCCTTCTGTGTTCAACCCATTTTTCAATTAGCAAATCCAGAAACCCCCATTTAATATTTTGCCATTTTAAGCAAAAAGTTCATAAAAGGTTTCCAGTCTTTTATAAAGGGTACTTATTTTATCCCTGATCAGACAGGTCAGCTTTGCTCTTTCTGAAATTTCTGTCGTCTTCACCACCTATTCCCCCATAGTCCGTATGCATTGTTTCCAATGGGGTGGAGAGGGAAAGGGGCTCACCAGGAGTGGGAAGAGCCACCCTCTCCCTCATGCTCAGTCCTAAAATGGGGAGTGGAAAAACACCTGTCCACCAAGCAGCAGGTGGACCAGTGCAACAGAGTTTGGCCTTCCTAACCTTCAGGAACGCAGCCTGAGGGGACCAATCCAGGCTGATAGTAACCAGGGGATCCCATTTTAAGCAAGCCTGCTTTGATCAATTGCTTGGTATGAAGGCAAGAGAAGCAAGGAGTTGGAATTGTTTTGCCTGTCATTTCAGAGGCACCATTTTGTATCTTGTTGGCGAAAGAGAGAGATGCCCTCACCCCGCCTCTGGTGGGCCAGCACAAGAAAGGCCCCAGGCACAGCACTCCCATTGGTAAGTGGAGGGTGGATTCTCTGGGGGCAGGAAGAGGATTTCTGTGGGAGCCTGTGTGGGTCTGAAGCTCTGCATGGTATTTTTGCTTGAATGGTGAAGAAAAAACTTCCAGATGCGATTTTGCCAGCTGGACCCTTGGAGCTGGTTGACACATTGCCTGAATGACAGCTGTGATGCTGGAAGAGGGAGCCAAGGTTGGCACACATCTCCATGGATCTTGCAGAAAGGAAGAAGCTGGTTGTTGGCTGCTGCTGGCTCTGCTTTAGAGACCCCAGGAGCCCTCCTGAAGCTGTCCTTTTATTGGCTTGTTTCAGTGGTGGGAAGCGATCCAGAGCACCCTGCAGTTGGCACAGAGGGCAGAGATGGTGTCTTTGGGGCCAGTTCGGCTGGTGCTGCAGCCATGGAGGAGAGCCCCCAAGGGAGTTCTGTGGTGGCCTGCGAAGAGGAAGGGGGGCTCTCCCTGCGTAGGAACCTGGTGACCCCCGTGATGGAAGAGAGTGACGAGCCTCTGCCTTTCAGCCTGGAGAGTAAGAGAGGCCACCCAGGAATGGTGACCCCGGGGGGTGGGGGGGTGGCTGGCCAGGAAGTCTGGCTTTTTTTTTTTTTTTTTGCTGGTTGCCTCCAGTGATTGGGATGCCCCCATCTAGTCCCTGGGAAACCCAGTTGAGAAAAGTTGACATTGAGGTGGCCGTCTTGAATGTGAATGAGATGCGGCTTCTGGCCTTGACTTTGTTTGGAGAAAGGATGGCTCCTGTTTGAAGGTCGGTGTATTCTGCTCTTTCTCCTTGCTCCCCTTAGAGCCTGAAACCAGGGAAAGGACCAATGGGCTGGCCACAGCAAGCGATCCTAGGTAAGACCTCTGGCAAGGAAGAGTTTGTCCCCAGTCACTGCTGTGTCCCCACCCCAAGCCTCTTTGTTTTTTGGGGGGAATCCATCTAGGATGGCAGAAGAAGGGAACCTTAATGTGCATTGGCTTCTGTGACACGATTGGCCCTTTACGCATCTCTCCCTGTCTCACATCTGTCCGCAGTTCCCAGAAGACGCCATCAGTTTTCGCTCGAGTCTGTGGCCCTGAAGAAAAGGCTCCCGGCCCAGGGCAGCTGTCTTCCCTGTTCAGGTAAGGCTCGACTCTGGGCCTTCTGGCCGCTTCCTTATGCAGGGATGGAGAACTCTCTTTTCTGTGCAGCCTCGTCTGCTAAGTCTGGCTGGTTCCTACATGTTGGCGTTTCTGGGTCTCTGCTGGGTCCTTTGTTGGGAAGGTTGGACAAATGGAAAAGAAGGAGCTCTTTGAGAGGCAAGGGTTGCCAGAGAGCAGAGACCTGGGTGCAGATGTAGGACAGGGTACCCCCAAATGTGCAGAGGATGGAGGGCATTTGTGTGGCCCTCTGTTCTTGTCTCCTCCAGATGGTCCCAGTTCACTGACATGGCTCTACTCTGTACCCTGGCTTTGGAAGGGAGAACGTCCCTATCCGCCCAGGTCTTCCTTGAACAAAAAAGGCCAGAAGTCCATCCTCATCTTGGGGATGCTGGTGTACCTGCATTGCTCAGCAGCTTCAGCTCAGCTATGCTGCGGTTTGGCTGATGACCCCTGGCAGAGAAAGGCTGCTGAGGCTCAGGGGAGGCTGCCCTGGATCCCGTTCCCTTCCCTGCCTTGGAGGCTCTTTTGGAGTGTATTTTTGGTATTTGGTATTTATTTGGTATTTATTGGACATTTATAGGCCGCCCTTTTCCCTGAGGGGACTCAGGGCGGCTTACAATCAAA